AGTCTAGTTGCGGAATTAACAATGGATTAGTGTTTGATACTTCCTGCTAATTTAACAACTAATAATTATGAGCTAACGAAACGCATGGCAAAGCTGATAAGTAACTTACGTTGTTTAGAGCGGGGCAGTGTACAGGATAGAACTTTCAAATTACTGATTCCCCATTAAATTTACATAATTGTATGCGCGAAAAGACAACGCGCGCGGCTCGCCCACTTTGAACTTGCATTAATCCCTTGGCATTTACATTTTACTGCGCATTATTTATCGTAACCTAATTTAGTCTACTTCTATCATTAACTAAGTGTGGATTAAGAGATTTTTAATTCATCGCGATTGATGAGAAAGCATTTGTATCAAATGGCGTATTTGACCGCGCGTAGGCCAGCTTACTTTTTTTATGTATAAACTGTGAAAGAACCCAATTAAATATTTAAGAGAAAGGGGCCTCTTTGGCTATTTCTCTCTTTTTTTCCTTTTTCTTTTTCCTCAACAGCGTAGTAGTATTCCCTTTATTTCGCAGTCGTTGAAATCAGCAAGGACTTGAGCTTTCTCTCTCGTTCTTAACGGGGAGGCGGAAATAGGGTCGCCAGTCTCGCCCACTCGTGAATGCAAATAAACAACGACCGACGCGAAAAGCGTGGTAAAAAGAAAAGCACCGGGAAAACGTCGTGCTCCCGTACAGTCGGATGTTTTATCTGCCTGAGAGATATCTGGTTTATATCTCAATTCGAGCAATAAATATCTACCTATATAACGCAAACTAGTTTTTTAATGATTCACAGAACTGTGATATACATATTTTTATTCATGAAATTGCAAAACACGAATACTTTTGTTTACTTTTTCATTTCAATGTTATTTAACTAAAGATATAGTTGTAGTCGAGCATTTTTTCATTACTGTCATGCTATCTATTATTAAAATACGATACTTGAAAATCAATGAAGATTTGGATAGCGATCAATGAAATATATTACGTACAATGACGTTTCGGTACTAATTATGTCGCTCAGTTTCAATCAATAATGCGCAATGCAATTGAAATCCTATTTTCATTAAAATTCCATAAAACAAACTAATTTACATTTTATATCGAGTTTATTTTTTATTTGATAACTGATGTTATTAATAGCAATTTTTAACCAATAAGATAAATACTGATAAACAAAGCATTTATGTTAGACTGACACTATATACGTATGAAAGCATTTAGCTAACATAAATTCTTTTTAAGTCGTCACATTTATTTATTCCTTCTTCTGAAGACATTTGATTTTATAGAATTTCACTGAAGCTTCTAAGAAAACTAATATTCTTAAATTATCAAAACTGCTGACATTGTAAATACTAATAAAATTCCAAATTACAAAGCAATCCAGTTTCTTTCCGTACTCCACATTATTACATTCAAGGATTGCAAAAATCAAAAGTATCAGCAATAGTACAGTTAGAATCAGGCTTTCAACGTAATGTCGTAATAGAGCTTGCTGTTCACCTTATCAATCCGACTCAGACAGCTAGTGTCTCGCTTAGTCGCGAAAAGACAAAGAGAATAGTTGCACGAGCTCACGCGGCGCCGCCAACCGAAGCTAAAATTAACCGTAACGCCGTAACTGCATAACTGCATTACGACAGCACCACTTGTATAAATTAACTCGAATCTCAAGAAGTAAGTACCCAAGAGAGAGAGAGAGAGAGAGAGAGAGAGAGACAGAGAGAGAGAGAGAGAGAGAGAGAGAGACAGAGGGAGAAAGAGAGGGAGAGAGGGAGGGAGAGAGAGAGAGAGTTGAGGCGCTAGTTGACTTGCTAATGCTATTTACTAGCAGCCGGTACGCTGCTGCTACCGCCGTGTCGCATTTGTCTCGCAACTAAAAGACGCTTATTTTGCCTTTAAAGAGCCGTCGATATCTCTACGTATACGAATAGACCATGCGAAACAACACGCATTAAAAATCACATTTAAATAGCCTGTGAAACTGCGTATAAATATGCAACGCGTGCCACGCATTTTCGAGATTGATTAAAGTGCTGTTGCTGTGATTTTTTTTGTCGCTATTAAGCACACACGCGAACAAATTTGTTTTTCATGAAGTGTGCATGATATAAATTAGGTAAGAGAGGATCTTTTGATCGCGGAATCGAATGAATGTTAATTGCCTGTTTATTTCTCCTTTTTCTTTTGTGAAGGGTGTATTTTGTTGAAAGTTTAATGAATCATTATGCGCTTGTAAAGTATAATGAAATCTGTGACCTCAAATAAAGCGGTTAATTAAAAGATAGTTTTATTCACGTATTTTTCATCTGCACAAGTCTAAGAAAATTGAAAAAAGCCATTTTTAAAAATGACAACTCGATGGGACTTGACGAAACTTTGCAGGTACTTGACCAACAGAATAAAAAAAATGAAAACGAAAAACTTGGCGAATGCGCAATTGGGCAAGCGATTTTCCAAATCAGTTTTATTACTTCGCAGACGGGTGACGCGTACCCTAGGAAAACTTGATAATGAATCGTCAGCGCTTGAAAACGGACTCGTCGTCGTCGCGTACGGAGTTTGACAGAATCACCACTTTAGATCTCGAGTTTCGCATGAAACTGTGCTCTGTTCTTTTCTCTCTTCCTCAAGTGACGCCGCTTAACTTCTGCTGCTCGAAACTTTAATCCTAAACTTTCCCTCGTGCGCGTACGCGAGATATCGTGTGCCAAAGCCACCAGGGGATTTCACGCGTATTACGCCAGCCGCGCACTCGCACGACTAGTCAAGATTCTCCTTTTTCCTCACGGACTTTTACCTGATCGCGCGCATTCAAGTAATGTCTTCGAAGACCGAATATTAGTATATTCTTTTCGTGGGTTTGCCTTAGTTACCTAACATTTCACATTTCAAATTTTTTTATTTGCACAATCAACTACGTGGCATGTAAACATTAAAGCTACCAAATAAGGAAAATATAGAACTTCCAAAATTGAGTTCAGCTCAGTGCCGATCAATTTATAACGCAAACTATTTCTTCTTCAACGTAATAATATTCAAATATTTAATAGATTAAAATTACTGAAGCTTGTTTGAAAAATTGATTCAGTGTCAGAAATATCTTCAACTAAGGTTCAATTCATAAATAAAAAATGAAGATTATTACAAAAAGAATCAAGAAAAAAAACTCAACGATAATTTTAAAACTGAGTATAAAATTCACGTTTACTACTAACGAACAACAGCCAATAAAATCGACGAATTAGAAGTTACTTCATTGTTTTTCGAAGCATGTTCAAGAGCCTCGTCACGCGATGAAAAAGCACGAAGTACACTCGCAACGAATCTAAAAAGAATTGGCACAGCTTTCGATTACCATTCGCTTCGACGAAGAAACAGGATAAAATACAGAATGGAAATTGAGAACCTGGCAATCAAAATTTTACAGGGTTGGGTTGATAGATCTAACGATCTATTATTAGAACGATGATAGTATATAAATATATGTGTGTGTGCGTATGTGTGTGTGTATGTGTGTGTATTTAATTATAATTGTGAGGGGAATTGTCGTTGGTGGAGTGCTTTAACAACCCTAGAGACGCAAGCTCTCTCCCATGGACTAATGAAGGTCGTGGCACTACGAGGCCCAGAGACAGGGGTATTTGCTCAAACAGTGTAATGTTGCTTGGCGAAATTCAAGGAAAATACTCGATTTAGCACGAGGTTAGAGCCACCGTCGCGACTCCGAGAGTTTGCTACTGCATAGCAAGCGCGCGATTGTTAGATCTGCTTAGCAGCTACTACATCCACCTCATTTCTCGCTTTGCACGTTTTCGCTGCCATTCCGCGAGCAGAAGATGGATTTGGCGGTCGTGTGCGAGATCGTTGCTACTTAGTAGATTAGCTGACACTTTCATTTCATGAATTTTCAACGTCCTCGCTTCGACTCTTACTCTACCCTTTTACGCGTCAGAAAATGTTTAAATTCTAATGAACAAATGTATGTTTGATTGCACGTTGAGTCGCATCACTAGATAGTTATAATTGCAGGATTCCTCGTACGATTTACATTTTCAGGCTATAATACTTTAAATATACTTAACGTTAGATTGATGAAAAATATAACATTTCATTTGACTGATTATTATATTTCGATAATTGACGATTCTAATAATCGCACGAGACAAGAAGATTAATTATCTAAAATTGTTAGCTCGATCCATTATCAGTTCTACACTAATCTCGGGATTATGAAACTGATAATTAACTATATATAGAATGCAATTACCATTGGATAGGGGAGGGGAGGGCAATGAGCCGCGAGGGTGGCTAACTGCCATCACAAGAGCACGGTGGCGCGACGCTTGAGCGTAGATATAGTTGGCCTACACCCTCATGACTACATAACGTCACAAAAGAAAAGTTGGACGGGTACTGAAAAATAAAAATAATTGAACTCTGTATGGCAGCGTAAAAGAAAATCTATGATCTCTTTCGGGCGCGCACGCACACGCTTTCGTTATTCGAATCACGTAAGGCACCTAAATTCCACAGGACCGCACTGATGTTTCTTTCGCTCTCTCTCTCTGGCACGTGCATTGTAGAAGCCGAATAGCTGAGGTGTGTGCTTATTAGTGCTGGCTCGGATGAAATTCCTTTTATTAATTTAAAAATTAAAAGAAAGAGAGAAAACAATGCGCGGTTTCACGATGAAACAAAATCTGATTAACTGTGAGCTTTAAAAAATATATACAATTACTTTGTAATAAAAAATTATTAGTTTTCTTTATGTGTAATTTTAGATACTTCATTTACTTCTTCCCTGAAACGCGGATGTTTCCATTCGACATATAATTACACTTATAACAACTATTATTTATCGTTGATATCACTACGTACATTTCCATATAAAAACGGCAATGCGACGGCTCATCTTACAGTTGCCTCATAGTTGGGTAATGGGTAGGGAGTATCAGCAAAATAAGTCACTTTTTCAAAACAGACAGAACGCTCATTCGTTTATTTGTATATCTTTTTTCCAAGTTAATATATAACATTTTTGACAGATCTGCGCATATTATCTTTTTTCCTCGCATATAAGCACACACACACACACGTGCTTTATTTACTTAACATGTGTAGCAATGCTTATAATCGGACGTCTGATTTCAGATCGTTAAACGAAACACAATAGTCTCCCCTACGTATGATGACGCGCTACATTTTCGCAACACACTTGAATATCACACATACATACACAGACGCATACACGTCAATATCTACTTTATACATTTTCTTTCTTAATTTATAATAGTATCTTATGTATATATATATATGTGTGTTAATCTTCCTTGCAGTCTCGATGTGTAAATGTCAAGGAGGCGCGCAGCTATTTACAATAAAATATGTTTGTACAAAAAACTAATAATCTCGTATAAACAGTTAAAGATATATAATATATACGTACGTAATACACTTGGGAGTGGCGCTAGGTCGCGTCTATTAACCACGTACGCTCGAGTTTCAACCATAAACAAAGCTATGAATTCCGCATTTATACGTCTGCAGACCACGGCGCCGCGCAGCTGTGTGTAAATAAGCGCAGCAGCAGTAGCACCCAGAAACGCCAATTGTTTTCGCGACAACACTAGCAGCAGCTCTTTCTCTATTCCCCTCGTTTTTTACGATTTTCCGTGCGCGTGCGTGTGTGCTTTCTTTTCGTTAGTGCACGCGCTGACACGTCATTCGGCGAGGGCATCCTGTACTGCTGCAACGCATCTCTGATTTACTGTTGCCCGATGCGGATTCCGCTCTCGCTTGATAGAAATTTATGCTTCGCTTGCAGCTCTCTGCTCGTCTACGTGGACACACAAGAAAGCAAAGTTAACGCGATCGATTGAATACGGAAAAAAATATATCGGAGCACGCGCGCAACTCAAATCTGAGAGATTTCGATTGTCAATAAATTTGAAAATGTCTTGTGGATTTGGAATGTTGAAAACGATTTTTACACAAATAAAAGCCACGTCGATTGTGTACATGACACGTTGGTCAGACAGTGACCAGTGGAGAGGAAATCGGATATTTCGAATTCAAGAAATGTACAAATTCAACGTAGAGTTCCCGGAGAAATTTTCCGCGCGCACTGTCACCGACGATTCTCTCTCGTTGTGTCCGGAAGAGTCAGTGATTGAACGGTCGCGACGGCGGTGGCGGCGACGGTGATGCACGAATATAAATGGCGAAAAAACGAGCGAAGTACTGTTTGCCTCGGCTGGGCCGCGAGTGTCGAATGAGCTGAAAAATCGAGCGATAAATTCTTTGCGCTGGTGGCAATTTTTTTCCTCGTAGATATATGCTGCTTCACTAAGATTTTTCTATGAAGATCACGCTTGTAGCAACGTACAACTTTCTGTATGCTTCTCCGTTTTGATTGACCTTGTGGCAACCGTTCCCGTAATCTCTACCTTCCATTCAACTTTTCTATGAAAATTTTTGTACAAGTGAACGATTAAAAATTTTTTTCTATTTTACTTTTTTTTGTCGTTGATTTTCTCTGACACACGTTATGTATAACGTTATACACCGACTATGAACGGAAACGTGCGCTTAAGACGCGAATCAAGATACATATATAATCTTAAAATTGAAACAAAGTCAACAGATTAACTTTTCAAATAGATTATTTGTTTCGTTACTCCCTTACACAAAATCGTCGATAAAATGATTCTTTTGGAAGATATATGTTTCTTCGGTAACAGATACATATGGCGAATTCGTATAATCTTTGCGATTGGCAATGATATGGCAGAATAAATATGGTTTTGTTTAGATTTTTTGTACGACAACGGGATTCCGGTGACGATATTAAATTGTAATATGTCTTTGCTGAGCGAAGAATTCACTTGATTGAAATATGTAATATGTATATGTTTTGCGCGCTACCGACAGTAATTATGATCGACATTTCGAACATGGTGATTGGCAGTATTCGTAATTACACAGGCGCTCATATGAATAATCGAACAATTATCAACGAATCAAGTTTTTTTCTCTCTTGTCTCACTCGACTTTGTTGTATTTTATCTTAAACTCACACACACACACACAAACACACACACACACACACACACGCGCGCGCGCGCGCGCGCACACGCACACGCACACTCACACACACATACACACTCGCACACTGAGTATACTGGCAACGTATAACTTATGGAAGTGGCTTATATACAACTCTCTTGGATCCGATTAGACCGTGTGACCACCTCGGGTTGATGGATTTTAACGTGGGCCGAAACCGACGACGTGACTGGCCTCTGTGGCATTGTCAGTATCCCCTTGTCTGGCCTCTGCAAACTGTAATACACCTGCGAACAACCAACAACCATGAAAAAATAATAATGCAAGCTCGTAACCAGTCACGAATAACTATCACAAAACTTGCATCATTATGTTATTGCAACGTTCGTCAAGTGATTCAATAATAACTTTCTTATCAAATCGTTTTTGTTATGTGCTGGAAAGTTTTTATAACCGTGTCAACTAATGACGAGTTGAGTTAGTTTGTTATACATGTTTTGCTAACGTAAATAATTGATATAGTCTATTAAACTTTATCGTTAGATAATTTCTTCTAAAAAATAAAATACTTCAAAAAAGACTATTGATTGGATTAGTAATGAAACAAGTATGTATAAATGAAATATAAAGATAGCTCTATTTGAGAAAGCCAGTCAACCCATGTTGGGTAGAATAAACATTGTTAGTATTCAGTGGTAGAACAAAACATAGTACGTGTACCTCGAACTAATTAAACCACTCTGTATTTAATCTTGCAATTATAATGTCAACGTTATTATCATTTCCATTCTTTTCTCACTTATAATTGTGATTCAAATATTTGTGTAGAAATAAATGAAATGTTTTCCATTAAAATGATCGTACCTAATTACACTAATATTCGATGAAATAACAGGAAAGCGGTCGGAGTTTCATTATTAGTTCACGCTTTATTAGAGCGAAAAAGACAGGATTGAATATCAATAACGCAAATGTAACAAGTGCAAAATTGACCAGGGGAAAAAGAAATCTGTCGGTATTATTTGAATAACGCAATAACGCAATTTGAATAACGAGGCAAAAAGAAGATCCAAGTCACGCGCATCGAAGACTGGCCTTCTCGAATTATCGAGAAAAGTTCGAAGGTAATTAAACTTGTGAACGTGTGCGCAGATAAGACCATCGTGGCGCGAGCAAAAAACCTTCAGTAACCCTTTCCATGACCCTACAAGCCCAAGAAAGTTTAAGTGGATGACTCCTTGTGAACGCGATCGTTTGCTTTTGGACGTGAGCTGCTTGCCAGCTGCTCTACTGCTGGCTTGCCATCAGCGAAAATTAAAATATTTAAAGTCATCGACAACCCTTTAAGCGCACGATCAATCTTTACTCAATCGAACTCGAACATCGCCAGCAGGAATTATTAGTTTCAGCCGAGATTCATTTCAAATATTTACAGAGAGTTTATGGATAGACTTTCTTGTACGTTGTCGAGTTAACTAACGTAATTATAAAAGTACACGATGAAGAAAAAACGCTCACGAAGTGCAAGTATTGACGATTTGGTATAAATTAATCATAGAAGCACATCTCTCGATGTTGCATCTTGCAAGTGTAACTCGCGAAAGAAAACTCGGTTCTGAATATTCACAACTTTTCCAATCTTATCGAAGCGAGCAACTTTGTAGCGGCCAAACTTTCGAGTCGCTGCCGCGTCTATACTTCCTTGAGGTGGAAGAAGAAAAAAAATCAAGGACAGCGTTAAAAAAGGAGAAAGCTTTTAACAAGAAAATTGATCTTACGTTCTGGTTGTTTCGCTGATTGTAAGCTTCGAAGGCCATCTGTTTGAAGTCAGCTAACGTTGGCGAGTTGCCATACAAACTACTCGGCGACGTCGCTTGTGCTATCAGATGGTGGGGCAATTGTGGGGGTAGTTGCTGATGATGGTTTTGTGCGAAACGTATCGTCGGAGCGGGTGAATGTTCGGCAAGCAAAGCTTCCTCTTGAAGATCCTTTTTATCGGGTTCTTCATCGACAGGACTGGCAGCACCGTTGCGTTCACGGATTCGCCGTCTCTGCGGCGGAGTCTTGTATACGGAGGTATAAGTTAAGGGTCTTCGCTCTGAAAGAAGAACACGAGGGGCATTTTGTGAGAGAAGCCTCGCGTTAAGACGATTACTCGATTAAGTCGAAAGAGAGAGAGCTGCCTCGCGTGCATGCAACCCAAGTGAAGCGTACACCTCTCTTGCTAACGTGACTGAAGAGTATCGAACGTCTCGGTAGAAATTTTTGTAGCTCCGTTAGAAAGAGAGAGACAGACTTACACGCGTTCGCGATATTTGATAACAGGGTTCAGAGATTCTTTTGCCGGAAGTTCTTAGTAATAATAATATAACGCACACAGTTCAAGTTAATTAGCTGTGGGGGCTAATGGCTTCTTGTTCTCTTTCTTCTTTTGTTTATTGAATGCAAGAGTTCGATAACCTTTTTGTCTATATATATATTTATGTATATGAACATATATATATATATGAACTCGTGAGTTTTTTCACTTAAAATAAAAGGTGATGAGACAAACTGATTATCTTTTGGGAAATAGTTTTGAATAAAAGAAGTTGAGCTTGAAAGCAAACTAATGCAAAATCCACATAAAAAATGCACGTATAAAAATATTTGAATTCTCTCACCGTATTCGTTCGGTATAATGTCGGGATCGATATCGTCGACTGGTTGCTTGGTCTGCGGGTGCACGGGAGTAGTAGAACCCGGGTTAGGCGGTTCGCATACGATAGGCGCGTGCTTTGGGCTTCCTACCTGGCCGCTTGCGTGCTTCCTGTAGAGTGCCGCAAGAATTCCTGCCACTGCTAATGCCAGCAGCGTCGCCGTTGCCGCTAAGCCCAGCAGCAATGGACTCAACACCGAGGCATCCGCGTTACCTGCACCAACACACAAATTTATTCCAATTGCCGTTGTTATATATCGTTGACTTGCTCGTGCAAAGGAGCTGTTGCTCATTTTTCATCGCCACTCCCATAGATCAACTGAAGGCACGACTAGAAGAAATTTTGTTAGTAGAACACATATTTGTTGCGCCATACAGGGAAATACAGGCGTTGTAAATAGATTCGAAATCGATTCTCAGCAAGTTTGCTGCGGATAAAACAAATCGTATATTTCCATTTTACACTGAAATACGGGTACTCGATTGTTCTCAGACAATCGAAAAACTGTTTGGCTTCGAATGTCATGTATTATAATTGGAAATCATTGAATTTGGTTATTTTAGTAAAAGCTCGTTGAATGCGCGGGAATTGTAAATCAGCACTGACTTAAATGAACAATATGAAATTATAATCGTGTTTCACTGCACACCAGCAGTCCTGCGACTGTTTGGAATCACGACAGCATATCGTATTTCGCAGAGCGGATTTACGCTACTGTTTTTACAGCAGAGACGTTTACTTGCGCGCACGACCATTAAACGTCTAATCTTAACTGGACAATCTTGGGACGTGAATTTGCTCGGTACAAAACACGTTTACCAAGAATAGATGCCAAAAATGTCGCAGAACCGAGTTTGGACTAGTAGCTTTCGGTAGTTTATTTGGGATAATAATGCGGAAGAGAGAGGATGACTATGCAAATTGCGCGCGTTGGTGGTGATATCGGCTCATGATCCGCGAGTGTTCCGCAACTGCCGCATTTCTCTCTCTCTCTCTCTCTCTCTCCCGTTGCGCAGCTTCATGAGCCGAACAATAATTAACGAAGCTATGTCTATTATTAGGCTATCCCATTGTACCAAGCGATTCTCGTATGTGACCGCATCTATGTTGAGTTCTCGCGGTACAAAAGGTTCGCCGCGTATTGCACAATCCACTTTCAGCACTTTTCTTGAGTGCATAATAGAAAGGAGATGTCTGACCACAATTGTACAATGGCACGTACTCGGCGCTGCTCTGTGCGTAATACAGACGCAAGAGGAGGAAGCAAGCAAGGAAGGAAGGAGAGTGTAATTGCATCAATTAGCAAGCACAAAGCAGCTCTCTCCGTCTCTCTTGACTGAGCACCCTTACGGGGGCGCGCACTTATGCGCATCCGTCGTCGTCTAAGCTCGTTTGTTGGGCGCGCTCTCGTTGCTTCTGCTGCTACTGCTACTGCTCATTCGCAGTGCTCGAAAGCTCTGCTTGAAAGCTGCCTTGCGGTGTATGTGCACTCCAAACGTTACCGGCTCACCATCGCCTTTCTTTCCTATTATTGCAGAACAGCTATTTCTTGCACCGAACAAATCCACTATCACACTAGTTCGGCAAGATGCTCTTACGAACGTATTATTTTATCGCCAATGATATTTTCATAGACAAATACGAGAAGTGCTTCGGCAACAAGTTTTCCCAATCCATCATTTCATAGCAAATAATAAAAAATATACTATACTTTTTACACTGACTCTAAAATATAATCAATTCGAATAATCACAGTCCTTCGTATTCAGAGTTAATCACGCGCTGATCCCCTTTTGCAACTACTAACAAACATTGCTTGGTAAAAAGAATTTTACTACGTGTTCTATAGCTCGTTACCTAGAATGTAATTAAATTCCCAGCGAAGTAAAAATACGGCTATTGGAATCCCTTACTAATAACGGACGAATTGTCAGGAAGGCAAACATGAATTAGACCAATGATTTGCAAATCAAAGAGTGAAGTAAACAATTTCTATCCCACAAAATTTTAATTATTGTCTTTTATTTGTTTATTCATTTTTTATAACCGCAAACAATATATTTCAAAAGCATTATATTTACATTAGTCTGTAGCTTACATTTTGTAGTATATTATAACTCGAATCGTATGCTTTTCTAATGCCTACAAGATCGAAATAGTACGAGTGTGGTGATCAAAGGAGGAAAAATGAAAAAGGAAAAGTTTAAAGAATCGTACACGCGATACGTGGCTAGATGCAATTTAGCCAAAATTGATGCTATTCCATGGATGCCCGAGACCAATCCCGTAACAGTTGCATTCTAATATCATCCCCGCGAGCAACTTAAGATGATTGGCTGTCGCGTACGTGCGCTAAGCTGCAAAAACTACTCGTGAAAACGTCTTGTTTCGGTTATTAATCACCTCGACAATTTTATCGTCAAAGTTCCGTTCAATTTGCAAATGCTTTTATTATTTTTCCACACGGCGTGCGGGAAGTTCGATTTTTCGCACGCTTTTCTGTACGGTAAGTGTAGCATTCCCGCGCGGTTATTCGGCGTGCGGGAAGAGCTACGAGAGCGTGCGGGAAGTAAAAGTAGGGAGGGGTAAGCGTGCGGGAAGTAAAAATAGGTAACGGTAAGCGTGCGAAAAGTAAAAGTAGGTAAAGGTACACGCAGATCTACACTGACAAAAAGATGTTGAATTTTCCTTACAAAATATTAAATTTTTAATACATTGTATTGAAAATTCAATACCAAGTATTACATTTTCAATACAAACTAAAATTTGTCGTTTGTAAAAATTATTCTCTTTAGAATTGCATTACTTTTAAAGTAAATTTAATGATAATTGTTGACCGTAATTGAGTTACAAATATTATAGTAGCGAATTGAATTTTTTACAACCTGAAATTATTATAACCTATATACCGGTGTTGCGATACTTTGTACTGAATTTTCAATATTTTGTATTGATTTTTCAATACTGTGTTGAAAAATAGTTTCAATACAACGTATTGAATTTTCAACTGCAGCTTTTTTACAGTGTACTGCATGTACTGACGCTTAATGGCCTGTCATAAAAGACGGGACGAATATGGGTTTCCCCAATTTGAGCACAATTATTTTCCGCACGGAGCGTTAGAAAACGCAATTAGCATGGAGATGAAATGTGGGAAAATCTATAGGGTTTCTCAAAGAAATATTATTAAGAAATATTTCTTAAGAAATAATTATTCATTTCGTAACTACTAATTTAAGTTTTTCATATTTTTTTATGAACGAGGGAGGGCACCAGCCGAAACTTCCTTTCCTTCTCTTTCTGCTCACATAAACCTACTACACTCGAACTTCCCGCACTTGTGTGAAAAAATAGTGTACGTAATTTGTGCGTGAAGTATGTGATATCCCGCACGCGTTACGTAATGTACTATTTTATTAAAAAAACTTTAATCTCAAAAATGCTAATTACTCATACTCGTACTTTCTATTGTTGGCAACGGTCCGAACTTCCCGCATCTTGTGTGAAAAAATAGTGTACAATACGCGTGCGTAAAGTACTATTTCTATCAATTTTTATTGCTACAAAACACTCAATATATCCATTGCAAACAATTGAACTTTTAGACAACTCAAAAAAATAAATAAAACATTTAATTACAAAAAGTACAGCTACAGAGCGAGAAAAAATATTTTCAAAAACTAGTCTAGTATTTTTCGCAAGTTCATTATCACGACTGGCAAGACTCCGAGAACTTATGTGTTTTGAGAATCATTTATTTCGTGAGTTTGCTCTTTCTCTTTCTATATCTTACGCACACACACACTCTTCTCGCACGAAATTAAAGGCTGCTGCTGGGCGCACTCTGCTTATTTCTTATTCTACCGGTGGCGAAGCTAGAAGCAGTTTTTATAAAGAGACAACCACTCACGCGAGCAAGAGAGAGAGAGAGAGAGAGATGGAGAAAGAGTCGTTGGCCGTGCTTAATTTTGCTAATGGATTAACTCACGCTCCAATGAGAAATCGCGCCTGCATACTATTTCTCCTTTGCTTGCTCATTTTCTTCCTCTCTCGTTCTTCCATTTGCTCCTAGCGACGTGCACGTTTCAGACCCTTCTACTTTAAGCTTTACCATTTGAAAAGTGTAATTTTTAGATTCTTTGCCGGGGCTTACCAAAAGTCAATGTATAATAAGAACGAAGCAGTGAGGTACCTTCTCTCATATACGTACATAACAGTTGTTGAAAAAACACTTTGCACAATTAGTTATAATAATTTTTATAGAAAAAGGCTGCATGAACATTTTATTAAATTTTTGTTCAACTTTTATTCCTTCGGAGAATATAAAAACCAATAAATCCGCTTCTTTGATTTAAGAAAAAAAACTCACGACGCAGAGCTTTACTCCCAACACTTGCATTCCTCTATACAAATACACACGAAAAGCAATAAGTGGCGGCACGACGCCGTAGGTATTAATTTCCCGAGAGTCGAGGTAGGATATTGAAAATCGAGCGACTCCCAGTGCGAGTTCTTCTTTCTTTTGCTTTCCATCTCTCTGTTCTCATATAACTTCTAAGAAAGAGAGAGCGTGAGTGAGAGAGAGAGAGAGAGAGAGAGAGAGGGAACGTAAAAGGAGTATTGCTGTTTGGTTTTCTCTAAATATGGAGCGATTCGAAAAATATGTATATACGTATTTTTGCAGAAGACAATGTGAAACTCTACCGTTGCTATATTATAGAACCGAGAAATTATCGACTGCAATATTCATTTGCCCTTGATAAATTTATATACAAAAATTTTCTTTGATTGAAAGTTATTTATTTTCATCGTTTCAACTGAAAACTAAGACTAAAAAATTAATGATTTAGTAAATTAAAAATGTTGAAAGTCGACCGAGCAAAAGTTCGAATCGATATGTAATATCATAAATGAAGGTCTGGTATAATGACTTAGTGACTTTTAACCGCACGTGGTTCTCACAATCCCTAAATTTTGAAGGGAAAGCATACTCGAGGGTTAAACACTGTGGTCTATTGAAAAGCCGTAATTGGTCACTACGTATATACGAGTAACATTTGTCCGAGTAACGGGTCCCGCAGTAATTTGTGAAGCGCAGCACCGATTTTCTTTGTCAAACGCCCCATAGGGAGAGAAGCGCCTATTTTGCGCCATATATATGTGCATGAATACATATATATATATATATATATATATATATATATATATATATATATATATATATATATATGTATATAGACACACACGTAAATGTACATTAACTCGCAAGCGTGGAGATTATTATACTTATACAACTGGACGAGTATTGAGCGCGAGGGTGTTGAGGGAGAAAGACAGTGTACATATGTCTAGGTAGAGGTAACAACCTCACAGGGTCGAGAGACGTTTATTCCGGGGTGAATGATATCGCAGATTAACTTTGCAGCAGCAGCAGCAGCAGTGAGTATTCCGTTAATTCGACTGCCTACCTGACTATTTCAGATGTCTCGATGCAATTTAATTTTAATAATTAAATTACATTAAATGACGTAGACTTCTCGGTAAATTAAATTTCCTTCTTCATTGATTTCTCAGATCATTATGCAGTGTGCAAAATATTCAAGAAAAAAATTGATATGCAGTCGTGCAATCATATTTGAAAGGATATTTTATTAATTCTTTAAGTTGATATGCTTTCTTTCTTTACTACGTCGCGTAGAACAATAATAAAAAAAAGCGTATACAAAAGATATTCCCGGCCGAATCGTATCGGGGGTACTGCGTTTTATTTACCCATGGATCTTGCGCAACAGAGCCAAATAACTACTATGTGACTGTGAGCAAACAAGTGAGCGTGTACGAGAGAAAAAACGTGGTGCGTAAGGTAAAATCGAATTAATAAAAAAAGTCGACGTACAGAGAACTGGTCAGTTGCAGTACGCCGTTCGCCTGACCGTTGATTGAGAGTAATCTGTTTTGTTAATTGTTGCGGTCGTATAGGAGAGGCTACTGCTGCTCTACTATTGCAAGTTCAGCAGCAGAAGAGATATAGGTGCAGTCTGCAAGCGCCCGGTTAACTGACTAATTGCAATACTGACGCGGCGACTAGCAGCTCTATCGCTATTACTGACTGTATAGACACTACATCGCGCAAGATGCGGCCCACGATCAGACTTGTTTTACTTTAGAATGTTGTAAGTTTATAAATACGTTAATGCTGTCTCTAAATATACATCAGTTTCTTTCTATTTTTTAATGATGAATGTACTTTTTAATCCCTTCCTCAAGACTAAATTGTCAAATTAAGACAGTGGCTCGCATGAAGGTTAAGCCGTTATTGAAAGAAATAAGAACAAAACAGTTTATACGGTATGAAAAAAAAGAAATTCTATAGTCCGTGTTCTTTTTAAAACTCTTTTCCACATAATAAATATCTACAACGAATCGCCATTACATTCATAGCAAATAAAACATCTACAATCACATTTAACTCACCGGTAGTGTACATAGCAACGCCTTTGAGCATAACAGGTTCAAGTATCGTTGGCTCGCTCCTTCCCTTAGCATTAACAGCATACAAGAACAGCTTGTAACTCCTCCCAGTGGACAAGCCAGCAACCTCGATCATCGGACCACCAGGTGTGGCTGGTACACTCTTGTTTAACATCACTGGGCCATCCTCGTCACTGACAACTTCCACGTGATACGATTGAATAGGTAAACCACCATCGTAACCTTCGATACAGCGAACGAGTAATCCAGTGCCAGTGGGTGGTGAGTTTACACTATTTTTACTTAGACCTAATTCCTCGAACTCCAATGCAGATGACAACTCCGTTGCAGTACAATTGTGCAGTGCATATGGTCGGCCTGCGGCGATCACCTTTCAATAAATGATAGGGATACTTGTTAATACTTTAGATTATTGTTTCGGTTATAATCTGTAAATCGCGTTGTTGCTAGCCATTTGTTACTATATAGAATTTGTTGAATGATATATTACAACAAGTATTACAAGTGATATCGGACTGATCTGATCTCGTTGTACATGTAACCCAACAGCAAGTGAGACGTATATTATATCAAACTCACTGAGCATTGCACTAAAAGAAGATGCAACTCTCAGATTTTATGCCGATCTGGTTTTTAAATGAATAAATAAAAAAATAATAAAACATTTATGTAGTAAAATGTTCTAATTACTTAATATTTATTTCAGGCATCTTGAACTAGCATCAAAACACTACCTTAGTCATGATTAATTTTGCATTGATCAGACTTTACCTAAAAAATAGGGTTTCAGTATACCTCTTGCGATTCTATCGTTGTGCGTGCGCGCACTTAATCGTGCACGAGCGGCAATACATTTTTTTGAAATTTATCTAATTTTGACAAAAGATACATGAATCTTTATCGATGTGTCTTCGATGCTCACGGTTAATACAATTTGTCGATGTGTATTAGAAATGTCTAAAGTGAATATTAAGCAATTTTCTGAGGTTTCTTATATCGCATATATTTTTATTTATTTATTTAAAAACACCAGACTAGTGCAAAATCTGGAACTTGCATAATCTTTTCATTAAATTTAGGCCAATCATTAGTATAATGTACGTTACGTTTGCTGGTGAGTTACTTACTGAGTAGGCCGGGGGGGGGGGGGGGGGATATCAGATTGACGAACGCTTATATAGTCGAAAAAGTAGAAGATGCAGAAGTGTATTCCAGGAGAGATTTACGTACACGAGAAATCTTATTTATGTACTTTATGGGTTGTTAATTAAGAATTATTTTTCTTCCTTTTATAAAAATCGACTGGTAAGCAGGTGCAAATATCTAGGATGCATATTTTAATAAATAATCTTAATTAAAAGATTAGCTAAAAAGAGTGAGCATGGAAAAAAGAAATATCGTTCAATAATATCATAGATAACTGTAAGATTCCATAAATCTCGATAATCTGGTTACTATCAGTGGAGAGCAATAAAAGCGAAAAAGAGAAAAAGTAACGTAAATAGATTATCATTACCTGGAAGAGACATGGCGAGCGTTGCCTGCCCACTTGATTGCTGGCCCAGCAGGCAACAGTCCCGTAATCCATTTCCGACGAGGGCGTGTAGTTCATGCGCGACCCATGAAATTGCTGGTACTCCTTCAAGTCTGTTCCTGCTTGCTGTTGCTGTTGCTGTTGATGTTGAGACTGCGACGATTGAACTGTTGGGATAGTCGTGTGTGAATAACGCGAATGCGGCACCTCGATCAGATCGCCCGAATTGTTGAAGGTCCAGTGAAAGGTTTCTGGTGCTGGATGAGATTCTACCGAGCACATAAGTGATACCGTTTCTTGTTTCAATGCGCCCACCACTACCTCGCTCCGGCCGTCCTTACACACTGGCGCATCTGGAAATCACAATTGAAATGATTTTTTTCAAGAGGCGGCTTAGATTTTGACATTACCACTCATTTTGAAATATTGATAATCGAAATACAATTGTTTATTTTTCTGAAAGTCAATTTGAGCAATTATTGTTTGTTAAAATAAGAGATTTGTTAATTTTTATCTATAAATTCACGATAACTTATAAAACGAAAATTAAATTAAGTTAGCCTTAAAATATATGAAAAAGGCGAGTTCATCCACGAATGGTCATAAAAATGCTTTTAGATACGATGAAAATTAAAGTCGCATAAAATAGAAAAGTTTTCAGAAGCGAGATAGAGAAATGCATGTTTTATTGGTCTATCTATTTTTACAACTAAACTTTCGTCAAACTATAAAATCGCTGCATGTGAAATGAGTGCACTGGAAAAGTTGCACGAAAGTTGAGGTGGAAAGAAGTTTCCAACTACGTTTGAAAAATTCGATTTCTGAAAAGTCACGAGCTACAATTTAAGAAAAAAGTCTCCTCTGTCTCTCTCTCTCTCTCTCTCTCTCTCTCTCTCGCAAATGCACCCATACACAGGAGAAAAAGGGATTTTTAACTTTTCCAGTGCTTTCTGGTCTACCAATGGTACAACTTGTTTCTAGCATTTTATCGAAGTTGAATTAGATCCTCCTTTAAACAAGTTTTTCTCGAAACTTTAGTTTTCGACACTATGACATATTAATTTTGAAAAAAAAAAAGAATTTGTTCTGAAACTTTTACTCTGAAATATGACGATGTTAATTTTTGTCACAATTAAAAGAACTCATCACATTTGAAGCTTTCAGCATTGAGATCAATCTCAATTTGGTAGAAGAGTACTGGGGAGCAAACGCACATACAAACAGAACGGGTCGCTTACAAAACAGCCTCGCGAGAGCACTCGAGAAAATTCCATCGGCAAGTATGCGTACAGTTGGGCTCATCCTGCATGTATAGGTATGTGCACAAGTGTGTGTATGCGTACACGCCATACTCGCGTGAGTAGAGAAGTCGTGAATGTCAGCTTAAGCAGGTAGCGAAGGATTTACGACAACGCAATCTGGAGCGGAGTGGGGGAATCAATTGGCAAGATCCATTCGATCAGCACGAGTCAAGTAACATGACTAATTGACAGCTCTCAGAGTGAAAGTTCGAGGGAGAAAGCTAATCGAAAAGATCAAAGATGTGCTGCTACTGGTAGTGCGGGTACAGTCGCCTTGTCGAATACAAGTAGTCTTAAAATATCGGCGTCAGTGGCTTAGCGCATTGCCAGGCAACTCGCTTCAGCCACACATGAATATTCAGCCGCAAGCGTGCTTTACATATATTGAATATGCATCGTAGCCTTTCCCTTCCATCCCCCTCATGCGCGCGAGCGAGCTCCTCTTCCTCCGTTTGCCTCTCTTAGGTCATTTACAAGATGAGGATCGGTGCCGCCACGCGGGAACACTAGCCATTTTAATAGAATCTAACCTCTTTCACCCCTCGTCACTTTACGTTCTTCTTTTTCCATCGCATTCGCACTCCCGCATCAATCGGGATTTCCGAAAAAGAAAACGAATTTCTCTTGCCAGAAAGTCTAAATCTAAGTTTACGAGTAATGCTATATATGACCTTGTCATTGTCGTGCAGGAACATTGAATTATTTTATAGTAATCATGTAGCTATCAAATTGTGATATAGAAACGTATTTCTCCATTTTTATTTTTCTCCTTTGTGAAAATAAATTGAATTCTGAGAGATTTCTTTAGAACGATATTAAAAAGACGTCAAACCTTTCGATAAAATAATACAAAAACACTGTATTCTTAATATTAGAATGTAAATCTGATAATGATTACTCCAGTACTACAGATAGCTTCAGAAATGAATAAAAGAGACATTAATCGTTGGAAAGAAATTAAAAATTAATGTATTATCACTCAGCAATGTTGAGAAAAGAATAATCTGAATGATTGCTCGGACGTGATTTTGCATGCTAAGCGAGGGATGGTGATGATGGAAATCGTGAAATCAATAGGAAGCAGACACGATATCGCTAATACACAATGCAGGGCTGCGCGCGGGCAAACACGATTAACGCGTTAACTCCGCAGGCACCGTAGTCTTAATGAGGTGGTTGAGTATTTAGTGTGTATAACAGGAAGCAGGACATACAATACTCTGAGCATTGTAATGCAATTAAAAGCTACGCGCTCAGCCACAACTCTGCGTTAAGCTTTAGGATATAATGTATATGTAACACCTTTGCAATTACTTACACATGACGCGTAGAGGCACCGGGTTACTGATTGTTTTGCCCTCGCTGTTGACGGCAAGGCATGTATAGTTGCCCGCTGAATTGCGAGTTATGCCTTGGAGTACTAGAGAACCTCCGCTCAATACTATCCCCATAGTCGAGTTGTTTTTTAGCTCTTTTGCCTGAAATTCAACATTTGTTTTTCTTTATTTTACTATATAACCCAATGTACGTACAATTCTTGGTTTTCCTACTTTAATTCAATTACTTTAATTTTTCGAGATAAAGATTTGCTTGAAAGCACTGCTCTGAATTTTCATATCTATGATTTGCTGAATAATAAATTACGAGCAGAAAATATATAAGCAAAGATAACTCGAAATGAGAACAAATATGAAATCTTGACAATTTTCAATTTGAACCAAAAGCCTATTTAAGAGACAGATTTGAAGTAGTCTTACTTGCCAGCTTAAAAGCTCATTTATTTTTAAAGAGTACTTCGTAGTTTCAATCATCATTAAAAAAGATGGCAAATAGTAGTGTACCATGTCGAAAAGTACTTGACATACTTGAAAGAGTTACTCCTGATTAATTGTGGAAACATACTGAGCGATTTCTACTACTTTGTTAAAGAAAGCTTTTCAGTGTGAGATTTTGATCGAGGTACATGACGGTAAATTAACTGCAACGGCATTAACTCACATCGATTTTTTTTATTTTAAAGATAGAAAATTGTCACAAAACAATTAGCAAATGATGAGAAGGCATAAAATGTGCTCACGTCTTTGAACCAGGAGAGTTTATAGGCCTCGGGATTAGCACGAACGAGGCACTCAAAATAGACGTCGTCACCCTCCTTAATGCTGTCGGGGTTAAGGGAGGATCCCATCTTGAGACTGACCATTGGCTGATACTGCACGTCCAAATGCCATTTATCCTCAAGCGCGCTGTCAGTAATATTCGGATTCTCAGCCCTGCACGTTAGATATTTACCGTTGTCCTCGATGTTCGGCACGAAGCTCAGAATGCTCAGGCTCTGATTGTTCTCTGGCGCGTACTGCAACATCAAATACGAACAGCGCGACAATTCGATTATTGACCTCTCATTTTCTTTCCTTTCTCGACTATTAGATATGTGACATGCACAAAATGGATTTTCTCTGCTGCCCAGAATGCTCAAGCTTTCACGGAAAATCACCGGTTCTGTCGATGTTCGATTCAATGGACTGCTTTTTTTTGTACAATTTTATATTTTATTGTTTCACTGAATCCATTGAAAAATCGAGTTTTATCTCTCTTTAGTTTCACAGTAATATTTAATATGTTTTATAATATATGTCATCAGCAAATTGATTCCGACTTTTACAGTTTGTAAAGAAATTTTCGATGAATCTTGTAAAAGCTGGCTATTTATTTTATTTAGAAAAAGAATTTTCTTTCTATCAAATTTTTTATCTTGTTAATTTGCCACAGTACGCTGCAACACTAGTACGCTATAATCAAGCTGTTGACATTTTAATTCCATTGTCAACTTGACAAGATATATTTGATATATATCAAATTACTGCTGAATGAATGCATGAAAAGGTTCACAATTGAATATAATACATTCCGTTGTAAAGGATTTGGACTATCGGTCATTGAAAGATAAAATCTTTTTTTCATCATATCGAACAATATGCGCGCACACGCAGGCACTCGCCCACATACATACATACAGGAGAGATACGCGAAATGTTAAAGAAAAAAAGTACAGGCTTTGTTAAAACTATAGTTAATGACAAGGATCGTCGGTCAATATTGGCGTAATTGTGAAGACAATTGCGAGTGCACTGCATCGGCATTCAGTAGCAAGATAGGTTCGTTATCCCGAATGACCTCGGTGTGCGCGCGTGCTTCTTTCTATTTTCATTTCTTTCGAATTTTTCGTCTAGGCCTTCGTTTGTCCACCGCCGCACACAGTTGCCATATAGATAAGTTCGTACGTGACGACGTCCAATTATTTGATCGCGCGCACGGCTTTGGGGATAGCAGACACACACACACAGACTGCTGTGGTGTTGTGTTGCTTTTCTGACAATACCGTGACATATAAAGTGAAAAGAGGTAGCCCTCGAGATCCACGTAAGAGATTGCGAGCGCCAGCACAGACAACACGACAAAAAAGCTTTCGCTCAATGCAATATACTTCTTTTCTCTCCCTCTCTCGCTCTGTCCGATTGCGAGATCAAGCCGCACTGATTAGCATAAAAAGAAAAGGGGGAGAGACGAAAAAAAAACTAGCATTATTAAGACGCTCGCCCGGAGTCTAAGGCAATACTAAATAGTTCCACTCTTTCTCCTACGCTTTCATTATGGAAATTTCCTAACGAATAAGAGACGGAGAGAGAGCGGCAGACAAACAAGCTCGTAATTCAGAGAACGTACGAATATCGCGATCGTTCTGAGTGACGGAAAAGTGCGATAACTGAACGATAATCCCCAGGACAATGACGGATCCGCTCTCGAAGAAATTCTTTTGTGCACTGTTGCTGCCAATTAGCTTTACCCAAAACTCTAAAGACATTGACCGCAAGCTGCTTAAAAGTAGAGCGTATTTACGTGTTAATGAAACGAATCTAAAGTGGAATATTAACTTTTCTACATTATATATTCATAAGTTTATAAGATGATTTTGAATGCATTATTTGCGTAAAGTACTTTGGGGTTTCTCTTGTTGGCAAAAAACAAAAGTTTAAATTTTATCGTAGACTAATACTGCGTATGAGATTAAGGAAAATCTCATGGATCAACAATGCAGAATTTAAATGAAAAAATAAAATGTATGCAAATGCTAGTATATAACTCAAACTTGAACAAACCAAAGATCCGCGGGGTGAGTTGAAGTGAAAAGCCTTGTCCCAAGGATATTCTTGTTCTCCTTAACCAAAAGAGTGGTGGGCATTCAGAATTATATAGCACGAATTCTTTTATGGATTCTATTCATCAAGCCACGCTCCGCGGTTTACGCTAAGATCTTCCGGCTCTTTTTTCATACAAGTCTGCTGCTGTGGCTTTTAGACCACCATATAAAAATCCCCTTTGTCCGACGGTATAATATATCGCTTGATTTTTGCGGTCACTCTCACTCTCTCTCTCTCTCTCTCTCTCTCTCTCTCTCTCTCTCTCTCTTTCTCCCATATATGCATTTTGGATTAAGGGATATAAATCGGACTGATTGAATGAAGCTTCGCGCGCGAGAGCGCTGGTAAAAAAGCGAGTGCTGCCTTTGTACGATTGATTGATTGCTTGCGCGTGCGATGCAGCTACCTGTCAAGTACATTAGCGGCTGGGTAAAATCGATCCACACGCCCAAAAGAGAGAGAGAGAGAGAGAGAGAGAGAAAGAGAGAGGGAGAGGAGCTTCGTGGGTGGAGATAAATGATGATGCGCACATGAGCGAGAGATCGAACACTAATAGAGTAGCCGCAAGTTGTATATGCAAAGAGAAGAAAAAATGACGACCATCAACCGGTATTACTAAAAAGGATAATTGTGTTGGTGATTAAGTGCGTGAGTACAACAATCGTGGCTAATGCGTTTGCAAGGTGAAAGGCTATTCATTCGTTATGCCGATAAGATTGTAACCAAAGGCACGTGAATTATATAGCGGATGTGTACTTACAGTTTTGGTTTGGTTGTCTATCCGTCTGTTGGCTATCCACCAAGTGATTACAGCTGCTGGTCTCGAGCCACTACTGCGACATTCAACTTCGTATTTTTTATCCGCTAATACTCTCGACTCTTTTGTCAGTATATGCACGTCCAGCGGCTTTACTGCAACACATTAACGAGTTTTGTTGTCAAGATTAAGTTGCGTTTTAACAGAACATCGCGCAAAACGAATAGGTCATTGGTGTAAACCAACGCGCGAAAATTCGTTGCAATGTAACGGACGATATCGGTTAATGAAATTGTCGTAGCTATAATTGCGTGCAATAATTTCCACAGCGAGAAACTATATAGTTTACACGCTCGCGGTAAATCGGTAATCAGTTGTATTTGTCGCTTGCACATGTGCGTGCTGAGCGCACGCTGGTAATCAGAATAAATAACCAACCGCCGCCAACTCCATGTGCGACAATTAAAAAAACAAGCATTAATCCATCGTCTGATTAATTCAGTGCGCAGACAGGCATTTGATAAATCTCTCTGGCGCGCACACCCAGCCTTCGTCCTATAATTGAAGTGCTTTGTCATTGGGTGAGTTTTTATCGTCTGAAAATGGGAATAAGTCTCGCGTTCCGTGAAATGAGATTGATTACGCAGTGGTGTTGTTGGTAGTTGTTGGCAAACGTAACAAGTTCATCATTGCTGCTCTATACATAGCTCGAAAAATTAATCCCGCATGAAAACAATAGCAGCCGGTTTCACGCAGCAACGCCCTGTGCGACGGAACATTACTTAACAGTCTCGTTATCGCGATAAATCTTGATTATTTCATTTCGCCGCGGTAATACCAGAAGCCGTGGTATATTGGTATATTGCAGGCCGAGAAAGATTCTCCCTTTCCTTACCTGTCACGGCTTACACATCCATTCGTATTTTTTGCTCTATAAATAGTTATAGGACCACACCTTCACAACTACGATCTTTCTGTCGCACCGACGTCTCCTTATACACACGTGAATTTCCCGAGAGATGATTGTTTTCTTTTCTGTTCTGTTACTTTGGACCTTGTACGATTGTCTGATGTGTAGTGCCCGACGCGCACTCCCCCAAGCGTTGTTAACTGTGATTTATGGATTATGAGTAATTCTGACATAACTAATTTTCTGATATTTCTGTCAGGTTCGTGCTATCCCGAGAACAAACTACCTCGTTATTCTCTTACTCGCAGTCTTTTTCACTTTCAGAAATTTAATATTCTTCCTAGTTATATCTTTTGAATTTATTATTTTTTCTCATTTGTTAATTAACATTCGCACTCTTCTGACGCGAAACAAATTACAAAAAAAAATTCAGTGCACATCAAAGAAAACATTACAAAAAATGTAATACCAAAATGGAGCTTCCTTAATTTTTTGCGCATTCGTTTCGGAAGTATAATGCTCTTTCAAGCGCGTTCACGTAAGCGATCAATAGGCATACTGATAAAGACGCTCTGTAATCTGTAGAAAACGAACAATATTCCCGGTAATCCTGGCTGCTCAAATTTTTAATCAAAGTTCTCTCTTGTGTACCCGTGCTACTCCTTCAGTCTTTCTTTCGCATCCGTTATACAGATCTTCGGGCGCACATACAAATTCTCGCAACTACTACAGCTACCGCATGATTAGCCATGCAAGCGACTGGAGAATTGGCGGTGGTTTTGACGACGGTGTTCGTCGAATACTTGAACGAAAGTTTTCTGGTTTACCGAAGGCACGTCCACCTTCCTGCTGCAGCCCAAGCTATTGGAATACTTTAGCGAATAAAACAGCTGTAATTGAAAAGCCACTGGTTCGTGCGTGCCCACCTACGCGAATTTGAAAAGCCGAGTTGGTGTGATTCCTATATAGGCAGGCGACCGTTTGACTGATGCTCGATATCTTGCTCTCGTTATACTCGCATCTTAATTGGACGATCGAAGTCAATAGCAGCAGCAACAACAGCAGCAGAAGCTACGCGTCACGGGGCATCGCGTGTCGACGGCTACATGGCGCTTGCTGTGCACACACGTATACAAGTATTTTAACGCGGCTCGCGTGTCAGAGAAAGCTGCGCGCGCGTCGGCTGAATACTGAGCTCCACGCGCTCGGCGCTATTTCTTGATCAATCCGCGCCGGTCGCGAGCGAGTCATTGCAGCGATTGTCCGATTAACTCTTTCGTGCACCGCTCCCGTGAAAGAGTGTGTCAGTCGAAAGAATTTAGACTGTTGTCTCAACAGGTGAACATGCCAAGTCGTAATTGTTTGTAGACATGAACTCGCTTTTCTTACTACTCTGTCTCGCGGCTAGTCGATTTTTTCGCGGCCATCGATTACTATCAAGGTCGCGTCTTTCATTGCAAATTATACATAACAAGTAGCAAAATTAAAAGCAGTAAAAATGAGAGTGCACCCGTAAACTGACCAATAATGATAACGTTGTCAACGAAAGGCGATGGGTGTGTGTGAGCGTTTCAGCAGTGCGTCGTTTGAATAATAATTGATTACAATAGCAGTAACGGCAGCGTACTGACGAACGAGCGGCTGTGAATGGGTGTCGTAACAAAACCGAAATAGCAGAGGGAGAGAGAGCGGAATTATCAGTGCGATATACTCGATAACAATTAGCATCCGCGTCGCACGCTTGACATTCGGCACGTCACATGAATAAACATATAGGAAATCATGCGTACCACAGAACAAAATTCTGTACAAAAAACAGAATAAAGCGAGAGAACTAAATCGAAGCATCACACGTACACACAATCTCGCATCCAGCGAACAACACGTCAAAACGTCGGACGTGGCAGTTTCCGGCCGATTGGCGCTCGTTTTTAAAAAGCCTGCAATTTATCGACGCGACCCTCACACGCACACGCAAGTATACTGAAGCTACATGTACGTATGCATCGTTGAATCTCGTGTGCATGCTTGGTGTTGGTGGGGGCCTTAATTGTCCCAGCAGCAGCTTGTTTGCATAATTATTCGCGCGTAATAACGGGGACACATCGGGGCTAGAATCATAATTATTGACGTATACCGAGGAGAGGCGAACTGCTCAGTCAGAGAATATGTACATGTATATGTATATAACGAACATTTCGTCAATATCTATTTGCCGGAGGTGCGCGTGAAATATTACGAGCTGCAAGTATTGCCAAGTTTTATTGTTAACTATTTTTTCATTACGTATTCATTGCACGAGCAAGCGAACGCTTTTATGTTTTGACGCTTTCAACTGCTCATGCACAGATATGAATACATTGAAATTTTCGTGCGATTTCACGGGAAAATATGAAGCTTGAGGAAATGCCAAAAATACAATGCTGGAATTCCGCGTTCCGGCTTGTAAATAGCCTCGGAAACTGTTTTTTAGCAATAACCAAAAAAGGTAGCTTTAATATTTTTTTTCTCCGCGCGCTTTTTTTCCTGAACGACTTACTTTAATGACCTATGGTTTGTAACATTCCATATCATGCGGATCTTTACAAGTGGCGAGCGCGCCTTAGTGTTTCACTCGGAAAATATTCAGTAAATTCAGTGAAAAACACGTGCAGAAAATTTCTTTATTGCAGACAACACAATTAGCGAAAGCAGACGGGTGCAAAGTTGAGGAAAGCGAATGAAAATAGCTCACGTGCACAGTGTAAGTGGAAAGAAAAAATGAAAAGAGAGAGACAAACTTTTTTACGGAAACCCTCTTTCGCATAAAGTGGACTGCCGCTGTTTGGAATCAAAGTAAGGGAGGACGTGTGGATGAATGAAATTGATTCTACACACACTCACACTCGCGCCCTCTTTCGTGCAGTAAGTGAGAAATCGAACTAGGGCGGGGGAGGGGAGGGGGGGGCGAGCTAACGGACACGCGATTCACTGATCCGTCTTCGCTTTTGGTCTTATCTCGAGAGCAAGTTCTGTATAGTGGCCCGCAAAGCCAAAAGGCACGCACATCTTTTTCGGACGTAATCACGACAAGCAAGAGCCGGTAATTCTCGACGCCTTTAGAAGGTGTGCTGTAGATGGATCCTCTGGAGAGAGAGAGAGAGAGAGAGAGAGAGAGAGAGAAGGAAAATTTGCCTTGAGGCCTTTTGATTTAATTTCTGGCTCGGGACTTTCCAGCGAATTACGCCGGCTGACTGTCAAACGTCGCGTTATTGTCGTGCAAGTCAATCTTCTACGTTTTAGCGCTGATTGCAATTTCATTCAGACCAAGTCGTTTCCCCTGAGAGGACTTTGTGGAACACTGAGTATTTTCGAGTATATATTTTAGTTTTGTGTGGATCTTATCGGGAGAAATTTTTGAACTAAATTGTTCATTGTAAATTAAAATTTTTTTTATCTTTTTTGGAAGCAAAAATTATATTTTTATTTTTCTAAAGTTTATAGAAAATTATAGAAAGATCTTTTAAATCTGTTAAGAAAGATCTTTTAAATCTAATCTCGATATTCCATTTATAACAGACATTTCTTTTGATTTTGAAAGTGCGTAATATCTCAAAGATCCATGTGATAACTTCCAATTAACATGGCATAACAGTCAAGAGATCTGACGGACGTCACAATTCGACACGCGGCCATTTCAGACACAATAGAATCAAAAGAAGCCGCCAAGCAGTCGCATGAACCAATCATATTTCTCGGACAGCCCACTCGAAAAATTTTAAAATATACACAATACGAAGGAGAAAAAAATGAAAACTGGAACGAAGAAAGGCACATTTCGCTAATGCAGGATGAAGCACATTTTGCGTGTCCAGCGGGAGACCAAATTATTAACGCTCGTGTTACTATATTAGTATTTTTCAAAGCTGAAGAAACAGGCTTTGGCTACGTGCACAACTAATCCTGTGTCGTTGAATTTTGAAATCGTTAGGACGCTTTTGTATTTGATTCGATTCAATATAGGCTAATGGAGATTGGTGTCACAAATGTCAAGCATAGCAATTCCGTTAAATTTTTCAATAGTACCAATTTGCGAACTTATTGATATTTTGGACGAATGTAATTACAACGTTATTGTATCATGTACTTTCACTCACTGGAGATATTAATGAAATTAACTCGATGTACGTAATAATACATTATCGGGTTTAATATTTTATCTCGGCATTTTTTTTTCATAAAAATTTAACTTGTTTTAATAGGTAAATAATTTAGTCCATATTTTACGTTTAATTTTCATTAAATAAACGAGCGTATTATAAATGAAGTAGTGGCAACCAAGTCGATTTTTATGTGAAATTATTCAACATACAATGGCGCAATCATCGAAAATTTCTTCCAAACATTTGTTCCCGACATGCAAAGCTTCCAGTAAAAAAATATTTTTTAATAAGCAATTATTAAAATAAGAAATAAGGGCGAAACTTACAATTGACAATGAGTGCAAGTATTGCAACCGGAGGATCCACACTGAAATGAGAATCAGGAGGAATGTTGTTGGCTTGGCAGACAAACTGAGCATTGTAGTGATGCCTCTGGATACGCTCGTAAACCAAATGATTGACTGTCTGACCAATCGAGGGTTTATACTCATAAGAGTTGTCGATGACATTGTTCTCCAAATACCAAGTTAACCGAGGTGGTGGTTTACCACCACGGGTAATGCAAATTAGCTTCACGTCAGTTCCCTCATTGTAACTTTTTTCCATTTCCCCCACTGGCTTCATTGTATTGCCGTCCAAGATTACTGGTTGGCTTGGTAGTTCTGTTGACGTAAATATATATTATCTTCATTATTATTCACCAGTAAAATACATTTTAAGCACGAAAATACAAAATACGGAAATAGCAGATTTCATAATAAATCGAGCTAGCACTCAGTAGACTAAGAGTGTTCTCACCAATCACAGTCAAATTTATCTTCTGATTAGTCGTCGGAGAGTTGGCAAAGTCCACTCGACACCTGTAAAGCCCTTCGTCCTTAGGTTTGAGCTCGCTAACGTCCAAGAAGACATCTTTGAGATCATTCGCGGAAAAGTAAGCTCTGTGACCCAATGCTTTCGGCGATGACCAACGAGTTGCATTATCCCGTTGCCGTCCTTTACGCATGTCGAATCTGGAAAAATACCAATTCCAATTTCAAATTTTCGCTCTGTTGATTTAGCAACCGACTTCTCGACTCTTTGCCAAAATTTTTCCGGTTTGTTCTCGTTTTATTCCCATTTAATTGAATTTGCTTATAGCTATTCTAGCTAAAATAATTTATGCTACCCGACTGCTGCCAACGAATTTCTCTCTGTTCCACTCACTCTCCTTCTGCTTTAATTTTGATTGAATGCTCGCATTTAATTAAAAGTTTATTTTATACTGTGTATGTGTTATTTCGTTCTAATGAGCTTGTATTTATGTTAGAAGTGAATTTGTGTTTTAAAACTAAAAACAACATAGAAATAATAAAATTTAGTGAAGCTCATTTAGCCATGAAAAATTCAGTGAGTAGGCTGATTTTCAGATCAATATTTACAGAATTAACGTGGTGATGCCAGTACAAGTGGTGCGTATCTTCAGAAAACAGTTTCTTTCAAATTCTAATAGTTTTGTTAACATTTAGAAAACAATGAAAGTCACATAAAAATTTTTAAATTAATTATACAGAAACGAACACTGTTATATAGTAACTTATGGATTTTTTTGTCAACCTAACTAGTATATATCACAGTATACTCACTTGATAATAATATAACGAAGTAATGAAGCTTAAAAAAATTGCCTTTCAAAGTATCCGTATAACTTAGCATGCATTCGGGATTTCCACGAGGACGAAAAAAAAAAGAATTAAGCCTACTATGAACAAGACATATATGCAAGTAGGTGAAATGAGAGAGATCAGTCGAAAAGCCGACTTTGGCGAGTCGTCCAGCGGGACTGAAGAGACAGAGAGAGAGAGAGAGAGAGAGAGAGAGAGAATAGTCCTATGAAGATCGTCGCAAACGATCGTCCCCGAGAGTCAAAGCGACGAACGAGAGAGAGAGAGAGAGAGAGAGAGAGAGAGAGAGAGAGAGAGAGAGAGAGACTGCTTCGCTCGCACTCTGTACCCATGGCATTTTAATCCGAGGGTAAGCCGCTTGGGAGCCATTGCCGTGCGTGATTGCATATTAAGCATCCTACGCTTCCGAGAGAGAAAGAGGCATTCGATCTAACAGGTGTAAGAATGCGAGAGAGAGAGATTCCTCGACTAAAAGTTAAATTGCGTTTCGCGCGCAAGAGTTCGGATTTCCGGTTTGCGCACGGACGTTCTCGTGACTGAGTATTCCCAAAGCCCTCTGCGCACAGCACTGACGTTGAAATACGATTTAATTCTTCCGCTCTGTGGCTTTTCCCTTGTGAGTGCTACCATCACATATGTCGTGAGTGCGCGCGCGCGCGCGAAAGAGAGAGTGAGAGGACTTAAAGCTACCGCGGATTTTTCAGCGATAAGTGCCGAGTGATAACCAGCAGTGCGCACGATTCTACTTCACAGGCTATCGATTCTCCTTCTTCGAGTATGCTCTAGATATATGATCCTGGGTCCCTCGTGAAGAGTGTAGGGGCGCTGATTGATCAAATGCTATCTTTTATGTACTTGTACTCGTCGGCTGCTGGGAACTACTGGGTTACAAAGAGCTGTACGTGGATCAAGCTGTGTCGAGTTTACATTGCTGAATTCCGAGATGAGGAAATGCAATCTCTATTTCGCTCATTTTACGGGTTTCCAGAGCTGATTAAATGCTTGGGAGAGTACTTTTGTATTACGTAAGTAGGAATATTACTTAATTTAATGAAGAAGCAGGTAGAAATATGATTGAATTTAACTAATTTGAGAATCGGAGGATAAGATAACGGAAAGGCATATTTAAAAAATCATATCAAGACGAAATGCAATCAACAATTGAAAAGTCAGTTTGATTGAACTTAGTGGGATGCTCGTTGCATGCCTCCTATAACTATAAGAAACCAAGACTGATACGTACATATATATGTAGTGTACCCCTGCAGTTGTTGAAGTAACAATAACATGTAACAACAAGGGTATTAAAGACAGTTATACTCGTAATCAAATTTCAGCGAACGTAATGAATTTTATTCATATTTCTCATTGTAAATGATGGAAATGGCATTTGAATTCAAGTACTTAATACATTTATTGTTAGCCGTTTCTGGTATAATCACCATTCACGATGCAACATTTGGGTTAATTTATAGATTTTATTCGTTATATAAATCCACTGAACCTTCTATAATTTGATTACTCTTCAAACCCATTAAAAATCCACATCTCCAAAAAATATCAAGTATCAAAATTACCATGTAAATTTTATCTTAGAGTCTACGTGAATTTTTTTACATCCATTGATTGAAAGCATTAACAAACGATTATACACCTCGATTGATAAATAATTATATAGAGTAAAGTAGGCGAGTATGTCGGTCTGCTTTTAAAACATGCATTAGGCTATTAGGATTCTTCGAGCGAGGCGGAAAACGGAAGTTTCTTAAATGTCTGGCGCGTGGACGATAAGCGTGCGCTCGCGCGCTCTCAAGGAAAATTCATCGTGTAATAAATAATTTAAGACTATACTCCGTGAGAGAGAGAGAGAGAGAGAGAGAGAGAGAGAGAGAGAGAGAGTAGTTCTCTCAGTGGAGAGTCTTGGCATGAGAGTAAGAGAGAGATTTTAAAGTTTGTACGGTGTTGCACGGAGTAGCAGCAGTAGCAGCAGCAGAGCTTGGATTAAAAGCACTGAGGCCTGCCCCACAAAAAGAGAGGAGAGAGAGCTGCAAAATTTTCGAGAACGGTGGAAGAGATTAGCTCGCTGGCGCGTCGGAAGATTTGCAGAGCGCGAGATTTCTTTTTTCTGAGAAATTACTCAGCGGGCTTCTTGGTAAAGAATTATAACTATGAATACGTCTACAGGAACGAGCTGATTTTAATTTTATTAGAATATTGCAAGCAATGTAAATATGATTAAACCTAGTATTTATTTTATGACAGCTAGAGTTTGGTCTTGATTAAACTTTATTAATTAAATGTCATAAACATCCCTTTTTCCGTCTATAAATAAATCTTCGCGCATGAGACTGTCAATTGCTGTGAGTCTTCGATGTGATTACTACCGAAAATTTTTCTCAAATTTTTCCGTAACCAAAAACTATGCCAGCTATATTCACATTTTCTGCGGGAAAATGTTTGCTGGAACTTGGCACAATTTATTCTTATACATGTACACGCGTACCTTCAAAATAAATTTATTCAAAAATAAATATTTGCGGGCATAACGTCATTTTAAAATAACATGATGTCAACTACATCAAAAGTATAAATTTATCAGGTAGGTTGCATGAACGACGGTAATATACTTGGGGAATAGGGTAAACAACAAAAGCGCGCAGGCACATAAAACTGCGCATTCGCACAATAGTAAGAGGGATAAGAGGAAGAGAGCTCGAGGCGATGCATACAGCGGCGCGTATCTTACACCTTATTACGTTTCGTAAGTAGGATCTATAATACCAGCGCGTACTCTCTTGCAGTCGTTGTCGTTTTATATAAAAATGTCACGGCTCGAAAAGCGGAAAAGTGGCGAGCGGCGCGAAAGAAGGAATGTTGAATTTGCCCGATGGCAAGCGAACACTGTTAAAGGAATTTAAAACGTTACCACTTGTCGTCAAAGCTGTAGTATACAAGCCGCATAAATCGTTGGGGCAATCGATAAATGGCAATATTTTGCCAAACGCCGTTTTTCCCTCGACGCGCTATACGATATATGAGATTCTGTACGGCGAAGTGGGGTTATCCTGTTCTAGTGATACTAGGCTAAATTATATGCTTCTATAGTTTTGGTATTTCATACAGCTGGCAACATTATTTTGAGTGAAGGTGCTATTTTCTATTTTGCTGAATAGAGTTCGGTTGTTGAATCAAATTGTTACTTACCCATAAATTGGATCGTTACTTGGTTCTTTGTACCAGAGCACTAATTTGGCCACATCGTCGTATTCAGATCTCAAGCTGCATGGCAGTCGCACTTTACCGTGAGCTATACCGGACACTTCCGTGAAACTTACTGTAAGCAAAAAATGGACTGCGGTTAAAAATTATTATAATATTTCATTTTCTTTTAATTTCGCTTAATAAATTGAATAATAAAGTCGCGACCGAAAGAATTGAGCTTCTCCAAAAAAAAAAAAAAAAAGTTGGAGAAAGTGGTTGAAAAGCGTGCGAGAAGAAAAAAGTAATGTTAATCCTTTGAGATACTTTCGTCACTCTTGTCAGCTCTTTTGAACACTATGATTATATTATACGGGTAAAGAGAGTCTTTTTTTATCAAGAATTATGGAATAGGATTTTTCCGCATTGATATAAGAAAAGCTATAACGAACTTTCAAAGTTAGTTAAGTACGAGTGGTGTTAGCTCGTGATACTGGCCTACCATCTGATTATCGTGATATTTAGTAGCCAAAGAGCATAAAATACTCTGAACCTTCAAACTAACCGTAATTGAATAAAAACTAGATATACCGTTGACAGCGTTGACAATTGCATGAGACGCAGGCTTGTATTTCAATTTGAAGGAAAGAAGAAGAGAAGGCAAACGCTGAAAGCTTCTATAGGTATAATCCTAGGTATGAGGGTCGTTAGAAGAATCCACTTTTATGTCAAAGCTGTACTTCATGCTTCATCCTTCTATTTTTTGCGCAGGGTAGAAAGCTTCATCAGATTTACACGTAGTACGCGAGCGCGAGCAGCACAGCCCCACGATTTAACGAGTTTCGAGCTCGCGCGTGACCGACTTCTCGCGTAAGTCGGGGAAAATTTCTCTCCGATTATCCGGAGACGAGCGCGAGACTTGCCGCTACTACGGAGGAAAAAGGGAAAGCGCGCAATAGGTGGGATTGAAACCAATTCACTTCCAGCAAATTACGCGCGGGCTATCTTATGGTATTGTGTCCGTTCCTTTTTTCTTCTTTCCTCCGTGCCGTCCTTTTCGATTAACTTTACGATTTCCACGAGAAAAGCCATGGACTTTGACACTAACAGTCCATTCGTCCATTCATTCCTGCCTCCATTCTACGAATTTCCCTTGCGTGCTGTCGTTTTCTTCATTTGAAGCTTTAGTTTCAGCTGCTAGACTATCATCTAAACTTTAACATCTCTCTGTGTATTCATAAACACGAACGCGGTGCATTATTGACAAGTTAGTATAGCGCCGAGTTGTCTACAACAATCACGAATGCGGCAGCATAGCAGCACGTAAGCCAGGCGAAAAGCGAGGCGACACGCGAGAAAGTACATTCATGAAGTGTCGTGAGCGAGAGAGAGAGTGCGGCGCATGCCGTGGTCGGATTATAAGTTAAGAAGAAGTTGCAAGGAGAGCGCGGAGCAATTTCATTTATCACGACAAAAATGACGCTTAAACTCGCTAGCGCAAACTTTGTCGTGGTCTTTGGGAAAAGTAAGGGGTGGCAACGAGGACGTCTAAACAAGTGAGAGAGAATATTGCTCGCGCGATGCCGAAATTGAATGGATCGAATCGTGGTTTCGCTGTAGTCGCGCGTGCGCTAGGGGAACAAAAGACCTTCTCTGAACCAATGCATTATTACTGAGAAACCTCGTTATAGATCCACGCTGCTGCTTTTCAAACATAGAGGCGAATTCACACGAATTACGTTTCTGCCAGCTCTCTACGGAGTAACAAGATATGGTAATACTTTAAGATTACAACGTCGAAACGCTTCTAATTGAGGTTGATGAATGTGGAAAATTTTGTTTGTTTTCATAATGATGAATCTTTTCTATGTGCGCTCCCCATACACCTACTCGTTATCCGTCTATTTTTCAATCCGGAGCATGAAAAAGCTGTCGCGTGTCAAATTTACATACTCGTCGTCGCCGTTTCAACGGTATAAAAAACCGCGTTGACATATCGACGATACTTGTGTTGTTGAAAACTAAAACTATGTTAAGTCTCTTGGACACATACAAAATGATTTTCGAGAGCACTTTCAAATTGAACTGGATCATCCAAAAGTGACACTTGAAAAATTAGCCTGTCAGTCAGAGCACGTGGTGGTTACATTTAAAAATAGACATCACTTCTCCCCAGAACAATACAGCGAATGCGCATTTCGGCACGTACATCTGACGACAGAGCATCGTTTGAAAGTCGATCATTTAAATGTCAAATGTACAAATACGCATGTGCATATGACTGTTGTATGGATTCTTGATCTGAACTGTTGAATTGAAAAATAAAGTAAAGGCCACTCTTTATCGTGTTCTGGAATCGAGATGCCGCCTACATTTCTGAACATGAAAATGGGGCTTAACGGTGGTTTCACTTGGTGAGCATTAAAGCATCGCACGCGTGGCTACAAAGTACACTTGACCGTTCTCTCCTGCAAAGTGAAACATCATAGGGTCTCCCCGACATTACAGCTCGCTCGTTAGTCATTTTTATCAGTCATTCAACGATTCTTCTCTCCCTCGAAAACAGCTTCGCACGCGTATACGCACACAGAGGCGCATAGAGAAGTTGAGAGAGCAGAGTACTCGAGAAATAGAGGACAGGACAACGTCTCGTTTGCATAATCGCACCGGAAAGCTGTGAATGCTAATTGAATTCTTTGAATTTCAATGGGCCTTCTTGGCAGTCGCGCTATTGCGCCTCCGTAATTGTATACGATTTCACCCCACCACCCGCTACCCTCTAGTCTTTTCTCTCCGCACCACCTTCTACGCTTGTTATGAAAAAAGGCGTCGAGGGGGTTGGCGGGAAGGTTATATTGGCTCGCGAGTTCTCGAGTTTCGCGCAATGCTTCTGTATGTATTTTTTTTTCTCGTTTTGTCGAGGGCGAAAAATAAACGACAGGCGACTTTTTTTTTAGTGAAGTGTTGAGTGGCTTTCCAACGAGAGATTTATTGTTTGGTTAAGCTTTACTTCCTCTCTCTTTTCGGCGTTGGCATTTGCATTGTAATGAACGGTGATGCTTTTGAACGAACAACTTTTCCAACGTCGTTAGAATTTCAATTTAAACATTCGAATGAACATCTTTCTCATTGAAATTCAATTGCACTGTTTTTATTTTTCCGTTCTTTTTCTTGGATTAAAGTGAGATGAAAAATGTGTTTCTCTGAATAATGTCGAGGAGATTTATATAAGCCTGGAACTTTGTTTTCCTTAATTCGTGTACGGAAGTAAAATGTTTTTTATGCGCTGCTCAATTTGAACAATCATTTACAAGAAGACATTTTACGAGATAAAGAGAAAATTACAATTTTTGTTGAGGATAGAAGAGAAAGTTGTAATCAGTTTTTATAGAGTCATTCTGTTGAGTTCATCCTATACAGACGTTTGATAATACGCTTTTGAAAATCCGAGCATTCCTAAGTAAAATTTTCATGCAATTTCAATAATAACAAGCAAAAAACATACATACTCACATATTTAAATTAAACTCAGTCAACATGGCTGCAAATAAACGATTCGTGCAAATAACACCAACTAGAAATTATATAGAGAAAACAAGTGAAAAAACAACAAATTGAAAACAGTGCTAAATAAAAGACCATGACATAGCCCAGAAGAAAATAGATTATTTCAGAAAAGATTAAATAAAGTATTATCAGAACAAAATATGATACCTGACCACCAATTCGGGTTCTGTAATAACCACGCGACAATAGAACAAATTAAGTCATTACTAAAATTAAAAATACTTTCGAAAAAAATTAAGATTGTAATGCCGTATTTCTTAATATAGCTCAAGCTTTTGATAACGTCTGGCTCGAATGCCTATTGTATAAACTTAATAAAATCGTATGAAAAAATCTCTACCTGCTCTTAGAATCATACCTAAATCAAAGAGCTTTTAAGGTAACAATAAATAATGATACCACAAAACTTTACCCAATAAAAGTTGGCATTCCCCAAGGTAATGTTCTTGGCCTCATACTATATTTAATCTATACCCATGATCATCGAACTATGGAAAACTAATATTGTCACTTACGCAGATGATATAGCTATATTAACAACTCACTTAGATATATCAAAAACACTAAATTTTTTAAATATTCATCTAAAAGAAAGAAATACTTGACCTAAAAAAATAAACAATTGCGAGCATTCGCTATGCTCTTGATTGTCGACTGAAATAATATTTCTCCAGAAGGGGGTGATACGAATACATTCCGTACAAATATTCTTTCAATAGCTTAATCGAAAGAGATTTCGCTGCGAGGAGCAGCAACGTCGAGCTTAGTTTAAATATTCAATAAAATCAATAGGGGACATTTTCCTCAGTCAGTGGCATGAAATTTATTTTACAATATTCGGTACTGCGACACTCCACATAGCAGCAATGGCAGCAGCAGCAACAGCGCCAAACTAAACAGCGACAATCGATGTGGTCGCTGCCGCGCACATGTATAGAGGCATGAGAAAAAAGACCTGCAGAAACAAAGGCCGTGAGCAAGCCGAGAATCGATAATAAATTTCTGATGAGAGAAAGAGACGGAGAGAGCGAGAGAGAGAGAGAGAGAGAGAGAGATTCTTCGGTGACATTAAAACGATGGTGGTCACGTGGAGCAGTATGATGAGAATACCGGGCGGGATAAAAGATTTCCCGGGCGCAATATCGAAACTGCAATATTCTTAGAATTCACTTAGGCGAGAGAGGAAGGTGAAGGGGGTGTGGGATATGAAGGAAGGCCGTAAACGCGAATAAAGATTACCTCGTCAGCGAGCGAGTCGCAAACGTCGACGATAAAAATAAAAAAAAGAAAGAAAGAAAGAAAAAAAGGGAAAAAAAGAAAAGAAAAGGAGGCCAGTATTAGCTACCGGCTGAGGCGACGTAGGCTTTATTTACGAGGGTCCTGCTTATACTTTGCGCCGGCAATTACAAGGCGATTTATCGCGATTACAAGCCTCGACTGCTTGCCTTCTTTCCTCTCCTTGTCTCTTGTTCTCATCCTCTCTTTCGTGATCTCTACTACTACTATTACTACTACTACTACATACTACTACTACTACTACTACTACTACTACTACTACTACTACTGCGA